AAAACTTTATACATTTTATGATCACATTTTACGTTAGAATAAAACAGTTTTATTCACAAAGTTACTAAGTTTGTATACAATGATATATAAGAATAATGATCTGTTAAATATTTATTTAACAGTAAGACATATTTATTTAAATATTTTCACGTAAAAGTTATAATATTCTGTTGCTTATGTTCTAAAATTCACAAATTTATTGCCAAATAGTAATTCAGGCTATATTTTAATCTTTATAATAGCCTAGGCCTAAATATCACCATATGATACAAGATTGATTTATAAGATTTTTATAGATAATATAGAAATGAAAAATAAGAAAATTAACTAATTAATTAATTCATTCATTCATTCAATGAATTAAGGTGTATTAATGTAATTGCGGTGGTGGTAGTAACGGAGGATCAAGACAAGCACCTCTGACATTGGGACAAGTAATGGCTGGTTTTATTGGTAGCAAAGATCCAAATAAAACGTGTTGAATTACAGGAAACTTTGATAATACCTAAAATTTAAAGTTTAGAATTTATTTCAATTTGGTTATTCAATAGTATTCATTTAATATAAAATTTACCTCCACTTTATACATCTTAATAAGCCCGTTATTAACTTTTGCCCATGATGAGACTGCGCTCACATTCCACAGTTGATTTGAATGTTCTGCGAATGGTCCTATCTTAACCTAATATGATATATCTGTCATAATTAAGAGCAAACATTGAAACTTAAAGCAACATTCATACAAAAATGAAGCATAAGGCCCACAAAAATTCTCACATAAATATATTACTTTACTTATTGTTTAAATAATTTGAATATAATCTTAATCAAGTATATACCTTCGAGATAAATTCTATACATCCAAGAAACATGTATTGTTTCGCATGAATTTCTATAATATCTTGATCTACAAAATGACGAGGTTCGATTCGTGGATGTCCTAAAATTATATGTCTTTTATTTATAAAATATAATTATGTACCATATATTAGATTTTCATTATCTATAACGAAAAAAATAAATATTAATCATGTAGAAATAATTTTTTACCGATCAGTTGAGAACTTCCCCATATAAAAGGTACAAATTGATAATCATCCAAACTCCAAACACCATGACTACCTGCTGGCTCCATACGGTATGTTATTTGAAGTCTACGTACTAATTGTAAATATCTAATTAAAAAATGAATATAAATATAGATATTAATGTAAAGACAAAAATGAATATAAAATATATTTTAGAAATATTAATACCTATTAAATACTTTTATAGCAACAGCAACTTTATCATTTTCTTTAAAAGCTTGAATTTTAAACAAACAACATAAGAACATTAAAAATGCCATTTCGTGTCCCGTTCCATAATCGATACGTGTTGCATTGCCAAAACTTTCGTATAAATACTCAATTATTTCTGGTATAGCTCTATGTAATTTTTCTGGTAACGCTTGCTGTAACTCTTCTGTGCCTTTCTGTAAAAATGAACTAACATTAGATTTTAATAAATAATATAGGACTGTCTTAATGTCACATTAAGAAGCTAAAAGGCTTTGTGCTTAGTGCCAAAAAGTACCAAAAAACATTTATAACAACAATATATAAAAGAAAAAGATAAAATAATTTTACCTCTCGCAACCTAGTATGCCAGGTTCTAAAAGATTTATTTCCAAATCGTTGAGGTTGTTCAGTTGGTGGTATTTGCGTTATCCATTCATCTAAATTATCAATCATTGTTAATATATTTTTAACTGCTGGAGATTGTTCGCATCCAAAATCTAATGATTTGCCTTCTATAGATTTATTTAACGCTAATATAAATCCTAGATATTCCTACGTAATAGATAAAATGTATATAAATAAAAAACAATTAATAATCTATAGATAAATATTTAACAACATTTAACAATAACTTACAAAATAGGCTTCGGACTTTTCCCAAACAGCCATATCAAGCGGAACCTTAATAGCTCTACTTGGAACGACGAACACATGTTCATCAGCTATGATATATAAAAATAGAAATAATAGTTAATACTATTCGTTATAATATAAGATAATAATAAATACGTACGTAATTGTAATTTATCCGTATCACTCATTGCAGTTAATACACTTAATTACTGTTTTCGGTTAATTATCCCTTCAATAATGTCATATAAATTACTTGATTATATATTATATATATATAAATATATTATGACAATTTAATACTTCATAGAATCTGTCATTAACGTCAATCTGATTTACAATAATTCTAAAATTAAAATATAGTGCCGGTGTTTTTTCACTGAAACAATTAACCAACCATAAAATGTATTTAATAAACCATTGTACCTTTTGTTTAGTTTTCATGTTATAATAAAAAATACATTTCTATTGGTTCACGTTTTTGCATAATGCAAGTTAGAAATAAATTTCAACAACGTTTTACTTTTGTGTATAAAATTAGGTAAAATTTATTAAAATGAATATTTAAAGCAAATTTTATAATAGAAATTAGTTTCGATTATGAATATTTACTTAATTAAAATATTTCATAACATCGTAGTCCATTTTTTATTTTTTCTGTACATTTATGACAACGACCAATAGAATTCGTTGAATTTATATGTCAAATATATTTGAATCTTATCAAAATACATACACTAAATTGATATAAATATGTGTGTGTGTAAATTAATTAACAAAATAAACAAAAGAATGAAAATTATTATAATATGATTTAATTTAAATAAATTCAGTAGAATCTAATTAATTAACATGAATTTTTCTAGGAAAAGAATTGCAAAAAATTTAATTTCTTAATTTTTTATTTGTTAATAATCACAGACCAATCAGAATCGTCCACGAAAAGCTGTAGGCGATCGGATCTAACCACTGATAGAAAGAACAATCTTGCTTTATATGGATAAAGGACACGTTACGATACGAGTGTATATTTAATGATTGATATTGAAGAATTGTTTTCTTTTACAAAAGAATTTTGTCAATAAATTTTATTGAATTACTAAGAAAAATGCAGATTCTTTTAGGTGAGTTTAATTAATTTTTACCAAATTGTAAATACGTTTTACAGAAAATTACCGTACCGGCTTATCAATCTACCATCGCATCCATTTGGTTTATATTTTGGTTAAAGTATTCTAAATTAACATTTTCATTTGATCATTTCATTTATATCGTAACTAATTAGATAAACCGTGTATCTTATCGATTTATAACAAAATTAATTTTGACAGTTACCACAAATAGGTATCAAATTTGAAATGAGTGTTCAATTTTATTAGATTTTTGTTTATAATAATTCAAATTTTCATTGTTTCAGGTTTATTAGTGTTAGTTACTGGTGCACATTGTTTATATTCATCTAATTCAGATGTCATCGATCTGACACCAAATAATTTTGATAGTTCAGTAATTGACAGCGAACATATCTGGATTGTAGAATTTTATGCACCATGGTGTGGACACTGTCAACAATTTGTATCTGAATATGACAAGGCAGCAACAGCATTGAAGGTAAACTCATGACAAATGATAATTAATCAATGTTCTTTATTTATCTACTGTTCTTATGTGCATAATTTTTTTATTAGGGCATCGCCAAACTTGGAGCAGTGAATGCAGATGAACATCAATCTCTTGGGTCTAGATTTAGCGTGCGTGGTTTTCCAACGATTAAAATTTTTGGTAAGGATAAAAATAAACCAGAAGATTTCAATGGTCCTCGTACAGCAGCTGGTCTGATTGAGGCTGCTACAAATGCCATTGCTCAGAAAGCATATGCTAAAATAGGTGGCAAAAAGAGTGGCGGTAGCAGTGGTGGTAGTGGTCATAAAGTAAGTTAATCTATCAGCATGATATATATGTAAGTAAATACAATTTTAAATACTCACAAAAACATTTTTAAATTTCTAGCAAGCTAAAGATTCTAAGGATGTGGTGGAATTGACTGATGAAAATTTCGACAAATTAATATTGAATTCAGAAGATATGTGGTTAGTTGAATTCTATGCCCCGTGGTGTGGACACTGCAAAAATTTGGCACCTATCTGGGCTTCTGCGGCTACGGAACTTAAAGGCAAAGTAAAATTAGGAGCTCTTGATGCAACTGTACATACTGTTAAGGTAAATTATTTACTTACTACATGTAACATTAATATTTGCAATTTTCATTATGGTTTATAAATAAATCCAATTACAGGCTAGTCAATATAAAATAGTGGGATATCCGACTATTAAATATTTCCCATTGGGCAAGAAAGGTGCTGACTCTGTACAAGAATATGATGGTGGTCGTACAAGTACCGACATTGTTAACTGGGCTTTGGATAAACTGGCTGAGAATATTCCAGCACCCGAAGTTGTTCAAATAGTCGATGAAAAGAGTTTAAGGAGTGCATGCCAAGATAAACCTCTTTGTGTAGTTTCAGTATTACCACATATATTAGATTGTCAATCCGAATGTAGAAATCAGTACCTAAAAGTTTTACACGATCTTGGAAAAAATTATAAAAAGAAAATGTGGGGGTATGTATTCTTATCGAATATTTGATTACTTTTTTTTGTATATAAATATTTTGTTTATACATTTTAATTGATATTGTAGATGGGTTTGGTCAGAAGCAGGAGCTCAACCAAACATTGAAGAAGCATTGGAAATTGGAGGATTTGGTTATCCCGCTTTGGCGGCAGTAAATATTAAAAAAATGAAGTATTCCTTATTGAAAGGAAGTTTCTCATACGATGGAATAAATGAATTTTTGAGAGATTTAAGTTACGGACGTGGTGGAACCGCTCCTTTGAAAGGAGCTCAATTACCTTCTATAATTGAAATTACACCATGGGACGGTAAAGATGCCGAACCTCCACAAGAAGAAGATATCGATCTTACCGATTTTATTTTAGATGAGAAAGACGAATTGTAATCATCGAGATATCAATGAAATCTTTTTTTTGTACGGTGCTGTACTCGATTTGTCAGGTATGGTTTTTTCTGAACAACGATATATTACATTTCATCCATATGTAATGTAATAATCATCGGTAGATTGTGTTTTATAAAAAATAAAAAAGAAAAGAAAGAAATCATTATACAGCTTGTATAATACTTTGTTTTTCAGCTGCGATGCGTTTCAATATTGTCATCAATATATCATTGAAAGTCGGTCTCCAAGTGGCTGGTCTCATTTTAAATATACGTATATTAAGTTTCTCGAAATATCAATGCTTGAATTATGGAAAAATATAGTGTTGCTCGTTGCCGACTAGCTGGATAAAAAAATTCATTTGGAAGATATTTTATACAAAAGTATAGTCGAAAGTATGTTTGTGTTGCACAAATTATATTTTTCCACAGTACCAAGCATTCCTTCCAAGAAAGCCAATTTACATAAGTTTATGTAAACTTCCTAAACAGAAAAAACAAGAAAGAAAGAAACGATGCATTTACATACAAAACATGTAATCCTTGTAACATAATCCCTATTGTTTTAATATTCTTTTATATCTAATTCTAATTTAAATTTTTTATGTCTGTATTTCTTTACTACATATCTATTGTTAATAAGGAAACCAATAATTTACTATATACATATCACAAATAAAGTGTTTGTATATTTATAAAAAAAAAAAAAAAAAAACAAGAAAATAAGAAGAAAAGAAATATGTCATACATTATGTTCATGCCTTTGAGATTTTTCTGCAAAAGTGTAATGTCAATTATCATGTTGAAAAAAAAACAAAATATCTGATTTCCTCACACATGTACGTAAAAATCAATTTCAATGTAAATTATTATACATTCTGTATTCTTTCTTTTCACATGTAATATGTATTCATTTTATATATAAATCATCTTATTAATCATAATTTTTTCCAATCTCTCTCTCTCTCTCTCTCTCTCTCTCTTTGTCTTATTAGAATGAGTCTTTCATCATTGGCATAATTAACATTAGATATGTATTAATTTATGTAAAATTTGGTTCCATTTGAGAAAAAGAAATATAATAATCAATTGTAATAATTATCGTGATAGAATAAATTTTTCAACAAAAATAATGTGTGTATATATATATATATATACATATATATATATGTTCCTTTTCTTTTATACAAATATTTAAGGACCTCTATAGACTTTGTAATAATCTATGAACGATTAATTGATAAATTAATACAATTACTTAGTTTCTTTTTAATATGGAAGATATAAGAACTCGCAATTTTGTGTTTTTAGTAGCATGATTGATGATCAGGATTAATTTTGTTTTTTATTTTGTTTTGTTTTGTTTAAAGAGGTATTAAATAGGCCAGAATGTACCTATTCTCAAATTCATGCAACTAACTTTCTTTGTATATGTATCCTTGTGTGTAACGATACATGCATATATTTACGTAATTTAAAAATTATAGCAGATTATATATAATCCAAAATATAAAAAATAAATAAATAAAAAGACAATAACAAAAACAAATCCGCACGAAATCGAGAATAGAACCTCTGCTTTTATTGATTTAACTCAATATTTCTTATTACGACTCGTATAATCTTTGTAGTAATAGTAGTAGTAATAGAATTAATAATAGTTAATGATGTTAATAATATATATAATAACAATAGTATTAGAATAGTAGCAGTAATAATAATAATGATGATGATAACGGTGACGATGATAGTAAATGATGACAATATTATGATAATGACGATGGTGATGGTAGCGATGCAATAATAATAATAATAATAATAATAATAATAATAATAATAATAATAATAAATCATTATTTAGAATTATTGTACATCGATATATTATTTAATATAATCTATATAATATATACTCTATATTAATATAGAATTCTATTTGCATAGATTAAATTTTTAAAACTTTATATTTATCACTTGCCTTATAAATCCTGGCAACGAGAGCAAAAAACACTTATCGGAAATGAAATACGACCGCACAGCATCATTATTAATATTTTAATCATACCACGTGGAGGCTGCCATGTGGAGTGGCAGAAAGTTAATATCATTGCGATTAAAAAAAAGAAAGAAGGAAAACAATAATTTAAAAAAAAAAAAAGAAATAAAGAAAATATAGAATAATAACAAAACTTTTTCAATTTTACTTTTACTTAACAGGATGCACATTACTTGTTAATATTGAAATATTGATACGTGTTGTGTATGCTTTTGAAACGTATCATATCTTCTCCATAACACAACAGGGTAGATAGATCGCACATATCATAATGCGATTAGAAAAATGAAAGTGCTAAAAGGACTAGACACTACATTAGGATTAGTAAAAACGAAGACTAAATTTAAGCGAATAGTTTAACATTTATAAAGAAATGACTTTTCCTTTTACGATTTTTTGTACTTTTTGATTAGGGTTAATCGTTTTGGCCAAGCCAAATATATATATCGTAAATCTTTGCTCGTTATCTGCAAATACATCATATTATATATTATATGTGTGTATGTGTGAGTGTGTTTTTTTTTTTTTACCACAGATATAATAATCCTTAATTCTTAAGTAAAACTACTTCTGTTTCTTTTCTTTTTTTAGTTCTTATCGCTTTTAAAAAAAGCTCTTTACTCTCAGTAACGTTAAACTGTCTTAATGATTGCGATACTACAAAGTATAATTAATTCATTCACTCTCTCACAGGTTTTATCATACGGGAGAAAAAAAAGTACGATTTTCGAGTGATATCACATTGCGTTATCAACACACCATAACCAGGAGTAACCATAGAAAGAAACACGACGTGTCCTATCCCGTCTCTCTCACTGAGGAAACATATCGTTGTATCTGGCTTCATCGTTAATTAACGCAGTTCGTAGTTAACTTGATTCGAAGACAGCTATACACGTGAATTTTCCTTTTTTTAATACTAATTTTAATTAATGATCACATGGTCTGTATTAGAACCATCAAACGTTTTTTTTTTTTTTTTTATACACACTCTGATGAAGAGAGAGATGGTTTTGAAAATTTATAAACATATATGAGATTTTATGGCTATGACTTGTAGATATTATCATTATTATTATCGATAGGACACTACTTCAAAGAAACGAGATATCCTTTATCCACAGTTTCGTTTTCATATATTAATATTCTTGAAAAATTGATGAGACTTTTGTATTATACTATTCTATACGAAATTGTGCAAACGATAATATTATCACTGTAAAACCTTAATTTTGTAATTGACAATATATACTACTATATCACACTTATGCATATTTTTTAAGGTATGAAATGTCTCGATTAATTACAAGAACATTTCCAAATAACTATTTTTATAACAAAGATTAATTAAATAGAGAATCGGAGAAAATTTTGGTATAATAGAAAGATATTGCGAAACGATCATTATCCGTACAACATTGTGCATGCTATCATAATATTGAGTCAAATTTTTATCTTTAAATATATTTTCATCGACTTCGGATCGTAGAGATCTTGCGTTCATAATTCTAGATTTAGCATTGACAGCGAAATTATAGAAAAAGGACATTCTCGTTACTAATCAAGTGTCTGGACATTATTATTCATCTTCCGTATCACCATCGCTACTGTAATCTTGTAAAGCAACTGGTCTTGAAAATGGTGCATTATTTGTTTGACTGAAAGACAAAATAAACAAGCACTATCATTATATAAATTTATTTAAACTTGTAAACACAATATTTACGATATTACTATTCTTAATATTATACTCACACTAGCCTGCGATAATGATTGAGCCATTCTTCTAACATTTGTGCAACAAGTAGTGGCCTCTTGTGCAATTTTTGCTGTGCAACGAGAATACCACCTTCTGTCCGACAAACGTCAAGCCAGTCTTTTAAAATAGACTCTTCTCGTCCAATTTCGTCTGGACTCAAAAAGTGAATTGGTAATAATTTATGTTCTCTGTCCATTAATGGCATAAAAGTAGTTTGCATTTGTATTTGCAGTTGTTGTAATGGACCATTCCCTCCACCGTGAGAAGAAATCGGTGGTATTCTAGATGATGCATATGGTTCTATAGGAACCAAAGCTGTAAAATGACCACGTGTATAGCCCAATGCTATGGGAGAACGAATACAAAATGAAGGTTCCCATAAAAGTGGAAGATAAACCCCTTCGAACCTTGCATAACCTAGACGATTAAATAAAATAATGCATTAGAATATTAAAGGAGATATAAACTATTTTTTAAAGTAGTTTCTTACCTATGTCTTCACCACGAAAACTTTTAACATATTTAACACCATAAACAATAATAGGTCTTCTTAATATATGTGCAAGTGCAAATACATGTAATTGTTCTAGAGCGCTGCCAGGTTGAGCAGCTGTTGCTAATAAACTCTCCCAATCTTCTTGCCATTGTGTTTCCTCTAATGTAAAATCTAACATTCTTGAAGCCTGCGATGCCTCATACTCTCTCCATCGAGGATAAAAACTGAAGTAATAATCATATTACATACAAGATAGAAATAAATTAATTCTTCTTGTGATCAAAAAAAAATTCTTTTTAAATTTATCTTAATAATTACTTACAATTGTCCTGCTTGTTGTAAAGAATCGGCAAGAGCTCTTCTTAAAGCATTATCTCTATCAAAAACACCCCAAGTAGCTTGCATAGCAGAATCTAATAAACAATCCCCAGCAGATCTATTCCAAAGTGCATGCAAACGACTGCCTAATCGCTCTGTTATTTCTAAGGACCAATTTAATGCAGGTGGTTCGCCACCACCTCCTTCCAGCTGTTGTTGAGCTTCTTTATCCAACAATTCTTCTAACATTTGTTCTTGCACTATACTTGGTAAATCTTCCACCTATGTAAAAATAATTAATATTTTTTATAGATAATTTTAATATAGCACCATTGTTTAGAAAGTGAATTTTTTTATAATAACCTCTGCAGGCAGTGCAAATGTAGCCATATCAGTAACAAAATAACAAGAGAAAGAACCCTTGCGTAAACGAATATTATTCATTACATGCCTACGTATTTGAGCAGCCAAATCAGGTGCTACGTAACTAGGTACTCTTTTTACACCAGAACCGGAACCCTCTATTTGCGATAATAATGTAGCTAAAATATCTTCTCGTTGAAATCTATAAATAAGGAATAAATGGGATATCAATTTGTTGAAAATGTTATGTTTGTAAAATGCAGGAGCAAAAAACAAACCTGATTGCCAAATGTACTAAAGTATGTCCAACGTCGAAAGCACTGCTTCTGTTTAAGAGTAATACTTCAGAATGTGTTAATTGACGAGCTGGATCACCACCGCTTGCTAAATATGCTTCAACGGGTGCATTGTCGCCTTCAACGATACCGAGACATGCATTTAACCAGCACCAATCTGTATGGCGTCTTAATTGTTTCAATCTACGCTCATAATCACAATTGTTAGGAGATTGCGGTGTTGACAAACTGTCATTTCTACTATCAGTAAATCTGTGTGAACTTCTATAAAAAAACAACACATTTGATACTATGTTATTAGTCAAATACATTAAAATCGTATTGGAATTAACTGATAAAATGAAAGCTAAAGTAACCACCTTCTTGCGATAGCAGAATTCTCCTCTCTTTGCGTTTGATGAATATAAGGTGCGTGAGGTGGAGAAGGTAAGCTGCGTTGATTATGATCTCTTTCGGGACTCGGTAAAATTAAACCTACATTAGTTGCAGATCTCTCTCTTTTATCTTTTTCTTTTGGATGAAAACACATAACGCATTTAGTAGCTTTTGGCCAATTTTCATAAGTGCATACAAGACAGGACCATTTTTCGGGATGAGCATTAGTCTGTACATTATAGTACCTTTCAGGATGCAAATTTATTGCCGGTGGATTAACTTGAGAATTAGAGCATAAGTTAGGCGGAGGATCAGCTAATCTAAGTGGCGCTAGATGCTCATGTAAATTGGAAGCTATAGAGTTTATTGACTGATTGTGTCCAGCAGGTTTCTTATTACTGCATTGAACACAGCGTGAGGCATTTTGAAAATTGAGATAGGTACATATGCCACACGACCACATTCCTCCAGCTGGTACATTGTGACTATAATTCTGAGAGGTTTGATTATACGAATCTGTTGGACTTATATGAGATACAGGGCCAGAAGCAACGTTTGATCCTGACCTTTGTGGGCTTGTATTACGTAAGCGATAAATATCTTCACCCAATAAAGGCTTGGCACCTCTACACATTGTGCATTTCAATGATGAAGGCCAATTCTCATACGTACAATATTCACAAGTCCATTTTGACTCTGCCTCTTCAAGTCTGTTATTCATCTTCAATGAATAATTCTTGATAGTGAGAACTCTGTTGTACCTCTACCATATACACACACAAAATATTTTATTAATATTTAATTTAAATATTTCTTTCTTTTTTTTTTTCCTTTCTTTTCTCTTCACACAATTTCACAACAATATTGTTCGTAATAATAAACAGAATATAAAATTATGATATTTAGTAACATAGCAATAAACTACACTTCACAGCATATATATATAGCATTGAATTCAACTTGCTTTGGCAGATATGGTTTTTTGTCTTGTACTTTTTACATAATAAACTTTTGGTCATGGGGCAAGCATTTTGATTGGAAATTATTATGGAACTTTAATTCTTCCCAAAATATTGAAGATATTAATATCTGAAAAAAAAAAAACAAACAGAACAATAACAATCTCTATCAAATAATATGACAATACTTTAAATTTTAGAAAAAAAAAAAAAAAAAAAAAGAAAAAGAGAAGGAATGCAAAAGTTAGAAGAGGATAAACATAATCATTGAGAATAACGACAAGAATAAATTTACCTGATGAAATAGTACGTCGATTTTAAACAGATAGCTGTCAGGCATACATAAGTTCCATTGAAACGATGACGATGATTCCAATCAGCTGGTTCTCGTAAAAAAGTATAGATGATGAAGATGAAGAAGATGAAGAAGATGAAGAGAGAATAAGTCTCTCTGTCGGTCTCTCATACACTATTTCGAGCACTCCACAGTAGGCGCATTTAACAAAGGATGATGATAATAATAATAGAGGTTAAGACAGAAGATTCGCGCGTCAATAAACGCAAGGGCGAAAGTAGGAAACTTTTTTTCTTGGCGTTCGAATCGGTGACGTTTTCCTTTCCGCCGAAGAAGACACGATGGCCCAAAACCCATCGAGCGAGTAAGCAATGTAATTAATGGATGGATTTTAATCGAGACCAAGAGTCAACGAGAGAAGAACAACAAACGTTTGGAGCTTTTGCATTCACTCATTCACTCACTCACTCACTCACTCACTCACTCACTCACTCACTAACTAACTAACTTATTCACTAACTTGCTCACTCACACACTTAGATTTTCAAATGAATTAAGAAAAAACGCACTTTAAACGCAAGCCCTGTGGCCACGAATGTGTCTTTTTCACTTTACGAATTGGATAAATTCATCGTGTCCAGTTTTCCATCCGACACGAGAAATCTGTCGACTTGATCGAGAAAGTAGGTTTTGACAGTCATCCGCAGCAAACAGACGTCAGTGCTGCCAACACCGTTTCGCTCGGATTTGCCAGCGTAATATGTGTGCATGCATACGAGATACGATGTTCCGCTCTGTTACGTCACGGATACGATACTGTAAATACTCTAAAACCGACGATGATCTTTCTAACCTCATCTTTGGCATTTACACCTTTGTCTCTCCAAATCTATTATCATTTATCTCTACATCTAAATATTTAAATACGACGAATCCTTATCTACCATTATTCTCTCAACCTTAATCATTTTTTATCATTTTTTTTTCTCGTACCGATTCTTCTTCTTCTTGACCTTTGCAACCTTCGTACACAGCCCACTATATGTAAATACATATGCCTTGAAACTAATATTTCAATATTTTATCTCGCTCCATTAGTAAACATCAACTTTTTTAAATATGAGAAAAATAAGATAAAGAAAAATGTTAGAAATAAAAAGGGGATGTAAAAAACCAAGAAAGTAAGAAAGACGCGCGAAATTTTCCAACTCCTCCTCTTCCGCCACTTTCCCAGCCACTTACTTACTCCCCTCTCTAACCCCCTCTCCAACGTTCTAATTCACAGCGTTCGAATGATTCTCGTTCATGCGACGAACACGCGTAGAATATTTTTTTATTTATAAATACTTCAGGCCACGTGCCAAAAAACAGAATTGTCAGCCTAAATGTTGGTTAACCTTGACATTTAATTGAATCAAAATTTGTCATCATATAAATTCGTGGTGATTTTATCGAAATAAAAATGTTATCTTTAAAGAGAAAGATCTCAGAATGATTATCGAGAGATATCAAATTCACCTGAGCCCACCTTCAGTTGAATGAATAGTGACGTCACAAATTATCAGCTGTCCAAGAAAAGCATGCTTGGGGCTTGTGTTGGGTCGAAGTGTTGTTATTCTATCCACTAACTAATCTTTTGGTAGTTACAAAATCAAAAAGACTATTTTTTTCTTAGTTGGCATAACAACAAGTTGACATAATGAATTTTAGTATAACTATATTATATGCCAGCGAAACCGGAACAGCTCAAGATGTGGCCGAACAAATCTGGAAACGTGCCAAAAGGTTTTGTTGTTTTTCTTTCGATAATTTATTTTTTTGAAGAATTAAAGAATAATATGACTGAAATTGTTTAATAACGAAATAATGATGTCGATGTTTTATTTAAGGTATTGTTTAGATGTTTTATTTTAATTTTAGGAAAGGATTGAACAGCATGGTATCTGCATTAGATGATTATGATTTAACTAATTTTGGTTTGGAAGATTTAATGGTCTTTGTTGTTGCGACAACTGGACAAGGAGATCCTCCTGATAATATGAAACAGTTCTGGAGATTTTTATTACGCAAGAGTCTTCCTCCTTCTATGCTTAGTAATGTTAGATATGGTGTCATCGGTCTTGGGGATAGTTCATATAAGAAATTTAATTTCGCTGCTAAAAAGCTTAATAAAAGACTAGCACAACTTGGTGGAATAGAACTGTTGCCGATAGGTCTAGCGGATGATCAACATGATTTAGGTATAGATGCCGTTCTTACTCTCTGGGTAAAGAAATTTTGGGAGAAGATTGCATCTATTTATAATATTCCTGAGATAAGTATTCATGATAACGTTGAAGGAATAATTGAAAGATACAAGGTTACTGTACTTGATGATCATAAAGAAAAATCATTAATGGAAACAGCTCATTATTTGGAGACTGATATTTATACACGAGAAATGGATCTAAAAAATGATATGAAAATAGGTACTGTTATCGACAATATAAGAACTACTGCTGAAGATCACTTTCAAGATGTTAGATTAATTAAAATTCTAAAAGAAGATATTATATATGAACCAGGAGATATTATTTATGTAAGACCAAAGAATTCTCTGAAACAGATTGAAAAATTCTTTAACGTATTGAATGACAATAACATCCTACTTTATCCTGATATGATTGTTCAAGTGTCCAAAAAAGAAATAAAAGTACCTTATGTTTTAAGACAAACTTTAACCCTTGGAGAAATCGTAGCGCAGTATTGGGATTTGTCTTACAAACCACGGAGATCTACTTTTGAAGTATTACATCAAATTAGCGAAAATGATTTAGAAAAAGAAAAGCTTCACGAATTTACCATACCCAGTGGTCAAGAAGAATTATACAATTATGTTAATAGACCACGGAGAAATATTATTGAAGTTTTAGCAGACTTTCCGCATACTACGAGTAAATTAAATATCCAAATATTATTTGAAATCATGTCACCGATAAAACCACGTGCTTTTAGTATTGCATCAAGTATGAGAAGTACAAAAAATGAAATACATATATTAGTTGCCGTTGTTAATTATAAAACAAAAATATTAGAGCGTAGATTAGGGCTATGTTCAAATTGGCTAGCAAATTTGAAAGTTAATAGTAAAATCATCTTTTGGATACGTAAGGGAACTTTTATTTTCCCGTCAAACGTGCCAAAAATTCTTATTGGACCTGGTACAGGCATTGCACCATTTAGATCGTTACTTTTAGAGGAAGCTGCCACGAAACAAGATCTCAGCACATGTTTATTATTTTTTGGATGTAGATACAAAGAAAAAGATTATCATTGCAAAGAAGATTTCATTAATTTAGCCAGGACGACTGATCTAAAATTGTTTTCTGCCTTTTCTCGAGATCAAGAGGATAAAATGTAAGGACCTATATAAAAATATTGCACATATAAAAATAACTTCTAACTTATTTTATTACTTTCTATTCATATTTCAGATACGTGCAACATATTATACGTGAAAATAAATCATTGTGCTGGGAATTTCTTCAAAATGGCGCCAATATTTACTTGGCGGGCAGTTCAAAAAATATGCCGAACAACGTTCGTGATGAATTTATCGATTTAATAAAAGAAAATGGAAAATTTACTTATGAGGAGGCTGTAAATTTTATAGAAAATTTAGAAAAAAATAATCGTTATCAAAGTGAAACTTGGTCTTAATTGATAAATAAAAAAAATGAGTATGCATGAACAATTAGAAAGGTATAAATAATAATCTAATCCAATATATATATGAAAAACGTATTACACCGACAATTACACATGTACACATATATTATACATAGATATATATATATATTTATGTTTTAATTTGTAAATTTATATGCAATTATGGCGATGCCGCTGTTGAGAAGGGTACTTAAAAATACGGTCCTGGACATTGGTGCACTTGATCAGCACGCCATCTTGCGGAAATTAATACGATGCCTGGTAAGGCGTAGAACGAATTTAGAATTCTATACTAGAATTTAACCTATAAAAAAATTAGATAGGAAAATGGTTAAATTCCGCGTGCTAGTGTCATTCCATACTTTCCTTTCTAATATTTTAGATTAGTCTATTTGTACAATTAGATTATTCTTCAAATTAGAACCCAAGTTAAATATCGGAGTTCATCGCACGCTAAGGAATCCAATGAATTTATTCGTTGGTTCGCACATGGCATTGAAAATAAGAGGACAGTACAAATTTCTATAAAAAACATTTCGTTTATCTAATCAAAGTCTCGTTTGTTCTTAAACGTTACGACATATGTATAATTTATCTATCGATTATTATTTGAGATGCATTGATTATAAAATCGCGTATATATTTTTTTAAATCAATTTAAGTTTGAAATTGTAGCAAAAAAATGGCGGGTAGTTATACGAAGAAAGAAATTGGCGCGGGTCCTGAAGAACAAACTCTCTTAAAAGATTCCAATGGAGCACGTATTGTCCCTGCTAAAGGTATTTTTTTTCTGTATCTATTCTTTAATCATATAATCTATATTTATATTGTATAATCTTATAAGTTTCGTCGTTTTATCTTTCTAACTTAAAAGGTTACTTTAAAATAGTAACCTTAATGGTAACTTTTAAGGGATGACTTAAAAGGACTTGTTTTCTCTTCCAAGAATCAGCCTTTTTTTTTTTGTACGTACCTTAAAAAGGACACGGTTGCTCAAACTGGTTTGGCTTAAATCTTCAATTTGGTTTCAACAGTCAACTCACAAGTCTTTTTATGGTGGATATTTGATTTAAAATACTTTTGGGAAACACTTTGTTATTTTAAAGATAATATTGAAATAGAATAAGTAAGTTTTGGTCAAAGTCTATTGCGATAAAACATAATAATTGTATGGTACGAACAAACAATTATCTTCAGTCTAATTTAACAGTCTAACTCGATAAGTAGTTAGAATCGTTTTGTTGTTTACGTAGCATTATTATTAAAAAAATTATAATTATATTAAATTTTTTAAAGATTTAATGGTGCAAATAAAAATTACAATTAATTTTTTTATATAATACAATTTTAAGCACTTATAATTAAATTTGCTTTATGTAGATAAAATATTTATTATTGTTTTATTAACCATCTATAGCTCAAATTTTGTTTGTGACTTAAAATAAATTTGTGTTCAGTGTCGAATCAACAAACATCATCCTCAAAATATAATTTAAGTTAATTGGGAATTTTCAAAGATTATAAATTTATTTTTAAATTTCAAACTCTCTCTCTTTAAAGTCTTATAAATTACCAAAGAGAAATTATGAAACAAAATGTACAGTACATTTGAAAACAAATTGTACAATACATTTGAGAACAAAAGTAAATTAAAAATAAACAATATTCAATCTATTGGTATGTGACTTCTAAGTTACATAGGATTGTGAAAGGTTAAAAAAAAAAGAAGCTTATAAAAATAATTAATTTATGTATTATAGGTAGCGAACCTGTACGTCTTTCACCAGGTTGGGAAGGAACTGGAAGACCGGACGACGAATTAAATTTTAAAGGTGTAACCATGGATCAAGCCGATCTAGAAATAAATCCTCCAAGTGACAGGTACATTTAGTGTAAGTTAAATTATGAAATATGTAAAAAGATAATCAAAATATTTTACTTGAATTTTTTTAGATTACATTTAGTATTTTCTATACTAGTACTTCATGGAATTGGTATTTTAATGCCATGGAATATGTTTATAACAGCAAAAGATGTAAGTATTATTTGTTTAAAATATTTATTTATTTACTCGTTTTTTAATATTTTTTTAATATTATCATCGTCATCATTGTAAAGATTATTTAACAATTTATTTATATAAGTAAAATTTGTTATTTTTACAGTATTTTGTCAATTACAAGTTATCCAAAGAATATACAGATATTGAGAGTAATTATTCGACACATTTTCTCTCATATCTGGGGTTTGCCTCGCAAATCCCAAACTTGTTATTTAATTGGTTAAATATATTTATGAAGCTCAGGTATGCATATTCTTTATAATACATCAATTTTAATTTTGTGTATAAATGAAATGTGCATTATGACCAAATATTAATTTGTATTAATTACTTTTATCTTATCCTTTTAGTGGAAATTTAACAACACGCATAGCATGGAGTATCTTTACGCTAGTTCTAATATTTGTATTTACCGTTATATTGGCAATGACAGATAGTTCTAAATGGCCTGGGGTTTTCTTCTGGATCACAATGATTTCCGTTGTAGTATTAAACAGTAAGCTCTTATTTATAAAATATATAATTATATACGTATATTAACAATTATTCAGAAATGTAGACATTTATATAATACATTTCTGCAGCTGCTAATGGAATTTATCAAAATTCGGTATTCGGAATGGCTGCGAAACTTCCCAGCAAATACACAGGGGCTGTTATTTTGGGTTCGGTAATTATAAATATTATAATAACTATTTTATTTTCAAATGAATACTTACTTGTTACAAGTAAACGTTATCTTTATTGCAATTATTAATTTTACAGAATATATGTGGAACGTTCACAGCTTCACTCAATCTTGTTTCTCAAATTATGGCACCAAATGCGCGAACCGCAGCTATTTATTATTTTATAACAGCTTTATTTATTCTTCTAGCCTGTTTCGACACATATTTTGCTCTTCCCTTGAATGTAAGACATTTTCAATTTTTAACAAACCTATTTTTCTTATGAAAAGAAAGAAAAACATATTATATTAACTTTGTCAATATTTTGAAGAGATTTTATAGATACCATGAATTACTTAACCAGAAAGAGTTGAATAAAAGGCAATTGGAAAATAGTGCAAGCGGGAAAATGGAAACAATACCTTATTGGAAAATAGTATCACAGTGCGCACCGCAACTTTTGAACATATTTCTTGTCTTTTTTGTTACTCTTACTTTATTTCCTGCCGTTCAATCTGATATAAAAGTATCAAACACAGAGTTTATAATTCCGCCTGATTTTTATGTTAGCATTATGTGTTTTCTGACTTTCAACATTACTGCTATGATTGGTAGCTCCATTGCATCTATCGTTCAATGGGTATATAAATATTTTATTGCTTATTACTCTTTCCTCATATTGACGTTGAAGTGTAATTCTTCTTTTTTTCTTTTACTTAGCCCAGCGAAAAATATCTGATAATACCAATTATTTTACGGATATTCTTCATACCGTTGTTTCTTTTTTGTAACTATCAACCAGCGGAAATTACAAGATATCTGCCAGTGTTTATCACAAATGATTGGGGATATTTAGTTATCGGGATTACGATGGGTATTTCTCATGGTTACTTTTCATCTATTGCAATGATGTATTGCCCCAAGTAAGAGTACATTCCTTGAAAATGAACTTTTCTAATCGATACGATTGCAATAATTCATATATTTGTCATTTTTAGAATGGTAGATCCACAATATTCATCAGTAGCTGGTATGTTTGGTGCAGCTTTACTGATCACTGGTATTTTTACTGGAGTTTTGTTTTCTTTTGTTATGCCAATGATCATATCTTAGAGAGCATTGGATATTTTATGAATAACATTTTTGACATTCATCAACAAACATCGTTTGGAATTATTTTCTAAGATTTCAGTTAATGCCAAAGATCGTTATTATTTTAACTCAACATTTTGTGTTACTAATTAGAAATTAATGAAAAGATCAAAGGTACATGGTTATTATCACAAACAATATATTTCGATATAATAACTTGTTCAAAATATCATAATAAATTGGACCAATCAGCCTTAATGAAAAAACAACTATATATGTCGCATTAGGTTCTACAGAAATGCCTGAATTAAATATTACAAAGCCGCTGGAGAGTAAGCACACAATTTCAATTTCTTTAAATTCTACGATTATAAGTATTCCGACTGTGAAACGAAATTTAAAACGTATCGTTTCTCGTTTTATAAAAATTATTTCCTTTTTTAAAAGAACAAAAGAAAAAACTTTTTTAAATAGAACGATCTGAAGCAAAATAACATTGTTAATAGAATCAAATTTTGAACAAGCATTTAAACTGTTATTATTTGTATTTTAAAATTACACATCATACATGTTAAATAAATACGTCGAGTATCCACCATAAATCGGATTTGTTTCCTGTGAGGCCCAGAATTGAAGCTCAACTGCAATTTGACAGACTAACCAATAGTATATCTACGCTTATAATTAATCTATTTGCTTTAATACTATAATTGAAATTATTTTACGTAACAATTTCTTTTTATCTAACTTTTGATTTCAATAGGGGCTTCCATGGAAACAACAAGGATTTGGGTACCTTAGCGCTCGGTTATTACAATACTCTTTATGTATTTGCATGCTAGGAGATGAAATAGAAGAAATTTAATTATTAATAAATTTATAGTTTGTGATATGAATGTTAATATTATTATACACTCGTAAGGTTGTAGTGTTGTATATATTTTTACTTTTTGTTTCTTGTTGAATAGTCATTTTTAATTATTCTACGTATGTTCTTTTTTCTTTTTTTTTTATCTTTGTTACGCATAAATAACATTTATTTTACACGAAAATATACTCGATAGGCAGCAGCATCATAAACAATGTGTTCTTAGATAATCTTTATGAAAGAAAACATGATAAGTTATCACTTTTTTTGTTGTTTTAAAAGCCATTATAAGTGACCAAACATAGTACATAAGAAAATAATAAAGTCTATGCGACTGTATTATTCTATACGAGTAAATGATTCATGATGAAACAGACAATAATGTTACATAATACGCATGAAGAATTAATGATGAAAAAAGTGAAAATTATTATAAACAGATAGCCACCTTTTGTTTTTTACAAACAATTTAGATATCTCACGCTTGCATGATTTTTTTACAAATCTTAAAATCGATCAAGAAATTTACATTATTTTCATAAAATGGTAATCGAAAAATTTCTTATATGACGATAATATAATAGCATTTCGAAAGAATAAAAGTACCAAAGAAAATGTAATAATTCATGACTTTACATGATACTTTATAGATCTTTTCTATATAAAAAGTAGAAATAGTACGTTGAAAAAGAGATCGAAACAGAGAGATTTACAATATATAGTGAAAATGCACACACATACACATATATATATTGCTTTGATTACTTTTTTTATATTTATACAATAACTTTTAAATACAAATAATATTTACACTGATTATTACAATTATTGGGTAAATAGAGAGATAAGTTTTATTAGATCTCGTTACTTTCTCATTTGTTTGATTTGTTTAGCGTGTTATATATATTTTAAACGAATGAAACAAATATACAATTAAAATATTTGATCAAAAATGTTATTATTTATAATTTATAACTTTTAATGAAGTTCATTATTATACAAATATTCTAATTTCTTCTTTATTTATCGATTAGATATCGCACAGATATTTGTAATTTGTACATTTCATTTGTTCGTCAGCGAGCTACATTTTATTGTAATAAATAAATTACAAATCTTATGATTATTATTATTATTATTATTATTATTAATATTATTATAAGAAAAGATTTTTACATATATGCTTGTTATACACGTTACTAATATTTAAAAAATAGAATTTTCTCCAACCTTGCACGCCTTATAAAAAAAAAAATAAAAAAAAAAGCAAAACCTATAAAATACTATTTACGACCAGAATTATAAATGTAGTAACGATTTTTATTCCGTGCGACGAGTGTAATGTATGCATCTATGAGACGCGTGTACGTGGATTTGTTATATATATATATATATATATATATATATACTGTTTTTACACTTTAATAGCATTATTTATCTATTACATGCATTCAAAATATAATAAGGCATTATACTTGCCTTTGTTATCATTCTATTGTTATAATATAATCTAATAATAAAAAAAATTCTTATTGTAAAATATACAGAATTTAAATTTCTAAAAAGGGACAATCCTTCATGTATGTATATCAATAGAGACAATAAGTTAAAACAAGAATAAAAAGAAATGCAATCATTTGAATAATTAAAAAAAAAAACAAAAATCTGATGTAAAAAAAACATATTTTTATAAAAAATATTAAAATGTATAAAAACATATTTCGTGTTTGTTTTTTAAGATACGTATCATATGCATTAAAAGTTTAGATTAAGTATCTCCATCAAATATCTTTCACATAAAATTGTATAATCCGAATATATTATTAGTAATGCAATCATTGCAATGTATGTATACACGTAATACATCCTAATAAGTAGTTATTAAATTCGGCTATTAATTTTCTAGTACCAAGGTAGAACTGTGGACAAACTTTGACGATCTTGTTATCTCTTATAAAAATTTATATAATTTATGAAAATGATGATGATGATTATTATTATTATTGTTATATTTATTAATCGTATTTGATAGTTCCAAAGCTAGTTATTTTTATTTATACGTTTCTTATAAACTCACGATATATTCATATTAAAAATAATACCTCGGGACTAAAGTATTAGTTTTTAGAATGATTAATCTATCGACGTATCGAAAAATATTTGGAATGTGTATAATATAAGTATAATTTTCTTATAACGCAGTTACAAAATTCAGAATATATATATATTACCAAAGTTATATAATTACCTGAGACCTTTTAAATGCTTACCATTGAATACGTGTTTAATAAACGCGTTAAGAAAAAAAAGGAAAAAAATAACTAATAGAATCACATAAAAATAATATTATTCAGAATCATAATAATACACATAAAAATGATATATTTTATTAATGTATATTTTGGATATATTATTAAATTAGTATAAAAATAGTTTTGTAAAAAGAGGTTTGTATTTTCCTCTAGTAAATATTATTACATAGCACGAAACAATAATATATATATATATTTTTATATCAACAAAAATTGGAAAAAGAAAGAAAAAAAAAAAGAAAAGAAAAATGATAAACTCTATCTAAACAAATGCCTATTTTTGCACAAAAACTCCCGTGTTTTATGTATTATATAGTTTAAAATGTAACTATTCATTTTACATAACATATACTTTCTCAATCTTTTTATAAGGAAACTCTTCTTTGGTCTTTGGACAAATTACGATACCATTATTTTCTTGTGCCATTTTTTCCAAAGCCTACATAAGAAAAAAATATATTTATTACAAGGATATATGTTTAAAGAATTTACCCACATATTTGTGTATCTAACTTAAAATTGACTCACTTGTTCTCCATAAACATATCCATTTGGCATCATCATTGGTTGATTATATTCATTTAAAGGTTTGCCACTAATACTACAAACAAGTCTTGATTGAGAACAATGAGCGAATGGTAATGGAGCTGCCAATTCATTAAGCGCTTCATTACACACAGGACAACTTGGATTTCTGCCTTCTTTATTTGCGCTGTAGCATTGAGGTGTTTTTAGCGCAGATAATCCTGCTTGCAATGCTACTGTGAATACACTTTGACTGGCTAATTGGAAAAGTCTATAGTTCTCATGTCTAAATTGTTCTATTAGTCTATCCCATCTAGAAAAAACAATATCAATGAGTTAAAATATATATATTGTTAATATATGTATAACAAGATAATATACCTTTTTTCATCTAACAAGTCCTTGTACGGACTGAGATAAAGATTAGCAGGAAACGCCAGTTGTCCCATGCAACATTGAATTTCTTGTAACTGATAATCGTCATAATTGGCAAAACATTTTCTGGCATGTTTAACTGCATCGAGTCTTCTATCCGCTCTTACTAATTCAATAAATTCCTGTACGCGTAAATTAAATTCCATTGTACTACCTAATTTTCTTAACTTTGATCGATTGTCATGACACCAACCAATGCACCTTGAAGTTTCATGATTTGCTAGAGATTTTTCTACTTCTCTAGAGACCATAAAAACATCTAAAAATTATACACATTTTCTTCTTAGCCAATGATTCTTAAAAGGTAGATCAAAATTATATCAAACACATATAATAAATGATAGTTTGTTGTACCAATATTAGTTAGATCCCTCAGTTCACTGCTATCTGCTAATTTAGTTGCTGTTTTATAGTAGCCTTTCCGAAGAAAATATTCGACCAACATACGATCTAATCTCTGTCTTCTCCATTGATTAACAGCGCTGGGAGCTGTATTGACGTGTTGTTTCAAATGATCCAAACGTCTTTTGCAAACCATACCAGCTTGCAATTCTTCAGCAATAGATTCCTCTGCTTTGCGTTTTAAAACTTGAAGTCTGGCTACTACACCACCTAAAAGTCTAGTTATTTCTCCAGTAGCAACGCTTGCTTCATCCTCTTTCAATCCTTTCTCTAATTCATTCGTTGCAGTTTGTACGTGTGACACTTCTCTGTCTAATGTCTTTTGAGCTGAACGAAACTTTTTATTTAAAAGTTCATATGGAACCTGCATTATCGAAAAGTACAAAAAGAAAATAACAAAATAGAAGAAAACAAACACATGTTAAAAATCATTTAACCAAGGTTTATATATGTTAAATATTTTAAAATGTCATTTTTTTTATGAAATATTAATAGATTTTGAAATGATTTACCTTCAACGTTGGATGTTCAAGACTTTTCACGTCTGACATGTCGAATGATTAGTGAAACTATCAAATCTAATTTGAAATAATTGTCGTATCAGTCAATAATATTTACTCGAACAATAAGACACTATTTAAGTACTGGTCCATTTTTACGTACAATCTCAACAAGTAAAATGTAGTAACACAATGACAAAGGGGTAAGAGAAAGAGAGATATATTTGTGACGAATATATGATGGAACGTCAGATTTGCATTTTTCTTTTCTAACGAATCATTTAATATTATTTACATACGTTGGATGTTTTTAAGCCGCGTTCTGAAAGAAAGCATGAAGTGCAACAATATTATTATTTGTATTTTGTTTTCTTCCAATCAAATGTTATGAAATAATTTTGAACTTTCCTCATACAAAATCGCAGCAACAAATGCTACGATATTTAGTACTAAAGCTTAATCTGTAATTGTTAAGTATACTATAATATATGTTTAAACCGTTAGATGACTCTACTAATCAAAATGATACACGCCATTTAATTGTATACTTAAATTTGAATTTATCTATGATACATTTTATTATTAATATTGTCATTTTTATTAGCAATGGGATATTGGTTATTTAATAATAAAATGTCATGATTATAAAAGTAAAATTAAGCAACAATAATCAACAGAAAGTGCAACCATGTTTCTAAGTGATCGATAGCCAATCAGAAATCTTGTTACTTTTATTACATTTAATTACTTATATTTTACGTATTATTTATATAATTTATTGAATTATTTGTTTATGTATAAGAATTGAAATAATATAATAATAATATAAAATTTTTCATTTATCAGTGAAAAACTTCGAATATGTCAACCAATCGAAAGATAAGAATTTGAGTATATAATCAACAATGTACTTCATTACATTCTATTGGTCCATAAATCGCAGTTCTGAAATCAACCAATCATAGGAAGTATTTCACAAATATATATTTAAAATATTATTGGTCAACGATTTTCTATTAGAAAATAATGAAGTAAGAAAGATATATAAAGGCTAGATTTCAGAAATCACGGTTTCAAATGATAAAAGATATCAGAACACAAGATGGAGACTCTGTATCTTCAAATCTAACAATAAATAATAACGATATTATAATGTATCGTTATAATTAAAGAAGCATTTTAATATTTAAAATGTCTTATTTTCAGTATTGTACATAAACAGTAAAAAGTCAATAATTTAACTGAATAATAATAAAAAAAATTAAAAACTAAACACGTGCGATAAAACTGCGATAGATGCTAGATAAAATGATGAAAGAATAAATAACATTAAGATGATAATAAATAAATATAGTAATTAAGGAATGAGATAATAAGGTATAAAGAGTGATATATCGAGTATATTGTCGATGTCGGCAGTTTGTCGTTGAATTAATCTTAAATTTAAGCGTTCAACCGTTCGGTATATGTCGGTCGGGGGAGTTCGGGTGTGTCCGTGAGCAGTCGGTTGGTGACGGAGAGGATCGGTGGCGCGCGCGAGTCACTCGGGCGACCGGGGGCCGCCATTTTCCTCCAGCGAGGGAGAGTGTCGCGAGCGTAGTTCCGCGTATCGTCGGATCTTCGCTTTTTTTTCTTTTAATCGTATAATCGAAAAAATCGAATAATTAAGAAAGTTACGGAGCGTCCTAAGGATAGAGGCGCGCGCGATCACAGTGTCCACATTAATACGATCGACACGGGGCTTCTCTCTACGGGGGGAGGCTCTCCGAAGTCGGCCGTGGACGACGCGAGAGCGGCGCGAACCGAGAGGAGAGCCGCGCCGCCGTGTGGACACCCCTCCGCTCTCAACAAGAGAGCCAGATAAAAAAATATTCAACAAGGACCTAAGCAACCGAAGAAGAAAGGATACGAAGGAACACAGTGGTGATAGAGTGATACGATTTGTGTTATTCCCCTTGTCTCGTTAGTCCCTTTCAGTACAACCGGTGAAAACGCCACGAGTACGACGAAGAGTTCTAAGGTGCTCGACAAATATACGAAGAGTCGCCTCCGACAGGTTAGTCGATGCGGCACGATTCCTATTTTTCTTTTCTTTTCTTTTTTATTAATGCTATAATTCCCTCCCTTTTTTTTATCTTTCTCTTTCTTTATCTATCTATCTTACTCTTCACTTTTCTCTCTATCCTTGCCCGTTTATCGGTGGACGCGGGCCGCGTAGTAGCACGTCGCACGCGGTCCACATACATACGCACCGCAGAGAATTCCGTGACTGCTCACGTTCTTTTCCTGCTCTCTCTCTCTCTCCCTCTTTTTTTTTTTCTACGCAATACATTCTCCTTCGTTCTTCCTTTTCACGACTACAATTCTCCGATGTGTATCCGTTGATACTGCTCATGCTCATGCTCCTGCTGCTGCCGCAGCCGCTGCCCCTGCTCCTGCTAATCGCACGTTCGTGTTGGACGTGAATGTGTGTGTGGGTGTGCGCCCGCTTCATTCCTTCAATTTCTCCTCCCCTCTTCTACTTTACCTCCCATCCTTCATCTCTCTCCTCCCCGTCTCTCTTTCTCTTGTTCTCTGCCACGCTCGCGTTCGTACGTGCGTATAGCGGCAACTGGCGGCGCGATATGGCGGGAGACGCCGTGCCAGCAACGAGCCACGCGCCTTTCTTTTTATTCCTTCCATCGGCCGGATTGGCCCGATTATCATCCTCTTTCTCTTTCCTACTCTCTTTTCTCGTCCGGTATCCTCTCTCTTTCTCCCTCTTTTCGGTCTGATCGACTACGACGGGGAACTACCACCACCGTGATAGGATTTCAGCGACACGTTTCAAACTGTTCTCTTTCTCTCTCTTTCTCCCTTTCGATGCGGACGCGGGTTCGTCTCGCTCTTCCGTAAGTCTCTCGAAATACTTTAACAAGAGACAGAAAGAGATATGTGTCTCTTGTCGATCATAAAAGCGTCTCTATCACATAGGGCCAAAATGCAAAAAAAAAGGTAGTTACATTTTAACCTAATACTTCCTTATTTTTTTTTTTATGTTTATCCTTCTAAAAGTACCACACATTTTTATTTTAATACAAAAATGAGATTGGTTTTACTTATTCCGAAGAGATTTGTTCTTTAAATGTTTGTAGAGAATCGTTTTGCTCTCTATGAACTGGTCGGCTATCATTGGTTGATCTTTGCCGGACGGTGATTGGATGGTCAGGACCCTACGGAGATCGACCAATTATGATGTAGCTTGGAGGATTTTTAGAATTAACCGCTCGACCAAACTGTCGTCGATTAGTTCGGTCGTCTTGCTCTTGCATGTTCTTATATACATTATGTATGTATATATGTATGTTTATTTATGCATGCATATGTATGTATTGAAAGTGTACCGATCGCGTGTTCGAGCATATATTTTTCGACTAATATATCCAATTGACCATAGCCGTTATAAATCATACGTTACTTTGAGAGCGTGCATGTTATATGAATGATACCATTTCGACAAACATTTCTAAATTCTGCTGTTTATTTTTCTATTTTTCTCTGTCTATCCCCTTTCCTATTAAATTCATCCGTTTATCAAGCTATCAAAGTTACAAAGTATAGCAATGATTATTTTTTCACGAGCCACTTGGTGGTTATCAACATGTTTTATCGATTCGAAGAATGCGATAAGAAGCAACATTCGGAAATCGTATTGTGTAAACAATCTTATGATTTTCGATATCACATGTATACATAAGTATTTGTATACATACTTAGCGTCTAAAGATTGTCTATTTTTGTTTTCTCCCTTATCCCTTGAATTTTTTAAGTTATTACGAAGTTATAAAGATGCTTAGAAAAAAAAGAAAACAAAAATAATACTCATAAGAAAGTAATACATTGAATTTAAAGAAGACGATTGTTGTGTGAATTCGCTTGAAATACCAGGAAACATCGATTGATGAGAGAGAAATGTATAGTGACGATAGTAATCGTAGTAGCGTAGTAATATACTAGTATTAATAATAGTAATAGTAATGTGGGAGGGAGTAATTAAGCTGTAATATTTACCATTAATTTCTTCTCAATGCTATTAAAAATTTGGAGATTCATAGAACTATATATAAAAAAGTATATTACATACATACAAATACGACGACTAATGTATCGTGTTCTACGAAAGAGAAATAGATAGAGAGAATGAGAATGACCGCATCGATCGTGTCCATGGGTTTATGCACAGGAAAACGGTTACGTTGCCTTCACTAGAGAAATTTAAATGTAACGACCTAAGTGGTGTCTACGGGAAGGAAGAAAAGAAGGGAAATGAAAGGAGAGAAAGAAAGAAAGAAGGAAGGAAAGAGAGATAGGATAGTCTTGAACGTTGTAACAGGTGCCCCCACCCCTTTAACAGTCTCTCTACTTCTTTCTCTTTCTCTTCCTCTTTTTCTCTCCCTCTCTCTCTCTCTATACATATATACACATACATAGTCAGTCACTAGCTAACTAACTCCTACCAGTTCCATTCTCTACCTCCCCTACTTCTTGTCTATCTCCCCACCCTATTACCTTCCCTCTGTTCTAACTTGTCCTTCTCGTGTATAACATTCGCTGTCCTCTTCCTTTCGCCGCTACTTAGCCTCTTTATGTAAGCTAGCAAACTGACCTGACTTAACTATCGCGCGCACTGTAACCTACTGCTGCTTTGCTACTGGTACTATCGCTGCTGTTGCTACTGCTACTGTTACACGTTGCCCTTTGGAAGACACTTCCTTCCAAGTTTCCTGTTCTCGTTGATGTTCTGATCAAACTATTACTTTTCTCTAAACAAGATGACTACAACAATATCATCGTCAATCTAGAATCCATCTTCGTATTATTTAATCATTGATCTCTTGGAGTCGGTGATCAAACTGATTATTTCTTTCAACACATTAATCGTCGTTAAACATATTTTGACAGACACCTTACTGCCTACGCCGTTAGATTCTATAGTACTGGGATTTAAAGTTCTTATAGTGATTTTATTTCAATTGATTACTTTTCTTTTATAAGTTTTATGTTATTTTTTTTTCTTTTTAGGTCAATTTGAGTTTTTTTAAGACATTACTTGTCTGCAGTTGTGTAATAAACACTAGGAAAACTCGTCTGACTGAAAACGGTCTGATAATAAACAAACGATCATCAGTAATTACTATCATGTCAGCAGTGTACGTGCACGTGTTGTTCATTCTTTCCGATGGTATCAAAGATTCGTGAGTAATACTCGATCGATTTAGAAAATGATTACTTTTTTTTATACAGTATAGTTATAAAGTTTCTTAGTTCGGAGTTTTGTAATCGGAAACAAATTATTTAGGAAATTTTGGTCCACTCCACTTATGTGTGTATGCATATAAATATATGTATTTAGAATGACATTCTCGAGATATATCTACGTAATTTCATGATCTCGAGTTTATTAAGTACTACAATTGTGTGCCATTGTTCGAGCTAAGAAATATGGTCGAAAGCGCAAGGTCAAGGACGCGAGTCTAGAACTTTCCTTCTGGTATGCTTTGAATGATTTCAAAGTCCTCTAACATACGTAAGTTGGTAAAAGTGATATGCTATATGTATGTAGTATACTTACATGCGTACTTAAACTTATTAAATTTCTATTAAAGATTGTTTGGAAAGTAATTTCATTTTTTCTTTTTTTGTGATGAGAAATAGAAGACAATTTTTGTATATATTGAATCCAAAGCATTTTAAATGATCGTGAATTGTTGAATTTGATAAATCCTATTTCTTGGCTGTTTCTTACGTTGTTATAAAACAATTAGCTTCCATCGGTGCCATTATTTTGTTCTTATTTCCTTAAACTGGACAACTTAAGCGTGATTCATCTTTTAAGGCGAAATTTAGAAAAGTCATTTTAATTTTAACATTCATTTTATTAATATACACTTTAATTTTCTATTTCTGATGTGATGGTAAAAAAAATCTATTTTTTTCTAAATCACGCGTCTGAAATATCTGTTGCTAGAATGTAAAATGATTTTGAAGTTTACATTAGAGTAAGATTAGATATCACTAACCGTGACTATCTCTGTGCAAAAACTGAAATTATTTTCCGAACAATCTAATACTTATCCTTTCTTATACGCACAGAAAAAGAAAGATAGAGATAAAGTTAAAGATAGAGTTGTTCTCGACCACTTATCGTACGAATATCTTCTTGTGTATAGGAGGGGTTGAATATTTTCAATGGTTACAAGTACCACTTTAATCCCATTTGTAGACTCGTTCCGATCGTGTTACGTATCTTTCTAACTTTTTATATATATATACATATATATATGTACATGCATACATACATATATACATACGTATATATTGTATATGCATGGGAACGAAAGAATTTCTGTCGATGCTAATTTTCGAGGAAAAGAGAGAGTCATTTCTCTTCGTACTTTTCTTTAATAAAAAACTTTGCCCCGAGAAAGAAATCAAACTTCTCTGATGAAAGTTAAAATGGCAAACTTGTCTTTATACACCGTACATTGTTTTATTCTCTTTCTTTGCTACAGAGTAGAAACGATTTTTGATTCGTCTTATTTAAAATTACCATTTTTAACATTTTTTTTCTCCAATTCATTTCTATTTACAAACTTGAACTTGATAAATATACAAATATAATAATAATAATAATTGAAATATATATATATATATAGGGAATAAATGAAAATAATTGATTAAATTGATTCCATTCATAGATAAACGGTGCATACCAAAATACCAAATAGCGATACTAATAATACTGATAATAATATCTCTTTTATAATACGGTACTTTGAGAGCACAGTTTGTAATGTAACACGGTAAAAAAAAATTGCGTAATACCGTTCTATAGTAGCAGTAACAGCAGCAGCAACAGCAGTAGTAGCAGCTAGCTAGCTAGCTAGGGTATTCCCTGAGTGTAAGGTTGTAATACAACACGCTATAAAAATTCTACATAAACCGTCCCCAATCTGCACATATACCTAAGTACAATATTTTCCATGAAACAACAAAGAAGATTCCCATAGCGTGATA